AATGTCACATATTAAAACAGAAAAGGATGGGGTGGGATGGTGGTACAGTGTGCTAAGCCTCCACTTGAAACACTGACATCCTTAATATGAATTAGTTAAAGCCCTGACTCCACACCCAATTCAGTTATCGTCTAATGAACCTCAAAAGGCAGCTGCATATGGGACATCAGGATGGGCTTCCAGGCTGCTCCTTCAGCTGGGCAGAAACCTGGATGGTGTGACCCATTTTAGAGTGAATCACCAGACAGGAGAATCTCTCTCCAAAATAAATAATAAAATATTGACAAATCTTATATTTATACATTATTATCTAAAGTCTGTACATTACTGCAAGTTTCTTAGAATTCTTACTAATGTTCTTCTTCTGTTTTAAAATTTCACCCAGCACACCACAATTTGGTCAGTTTTCATATCATCCTAGCCTCTTCTAGATTACCCTGACATCTCAGATTGCATTTGTGGTAATTTTGACAGTTTTGAAGTATTTTTCCAGATGTTTTACAGGATAATCCTCAACATAGATCTGCTAATATCTTTAATTGTAATTATACTACACCATATATCTTTTGGGAGAAAAAACACAGAAGGTGTTCAGCATGTTCCTGTCATAGCGTACCAACAAAAGGAAAATGTCCACATATTTTGGAGGCTTATTTCACTTCAATTATTTCAATTTTATTTGAATAGTACACACTCACACATGTACAGAGAGTGAGATCCCCCATCTGCTGGTTCACTCTCCTAATGTCCACACCAACTGACCTGGCACCAAGCTGTTTCCAGGTTTTGAGGTTTGTTTCCCCATTTGAAGGGCGTGTCTCATTGACCTGAACCATCCGCTCCTCTCTTCCTGGAACTACATTAACAGCGTTCAGGTAACTACATTAACTACATTAAGAGCATTTTCATTGCTCCCTGAGTGTTATCTCTTGTAGCTCTCTAACCAGACTGAACTAGAAAACACTTGTGTTTATACTAATTTGAAAACACAAACAAATAGATATAGATATTTATATAGATATAGATATGTATTGTATGAATTGTGTATTGAGCAAACATTGATTCATATTGAGATTTTCTGCTTATTCAGCACCATGTGGTTCATTCTGACTTCTTGTTTATTTGTAAACTTAAAGAAGTTGTCATTACCCACACCCATTTATTTGTTAAATTCCAGTAAACAATTATGCAATTATGTAAGATTTATCAGTATATATATGCTGACATATATAAACAATCCATTTTATTTTAATGCTAATATCTCCATTCATTTTCAAAGCAACTTAGGTCAGCAGCTCCACTTTCATGGAAGCTTTGCAATAAGGTTGTTGAAAATGAAAAAGGAGTACTTTGAAGAATGTATTTTCTGAATAACTACATGCAAATAATCATCTCTCCCAGCTTCATACAAACCTAAAATTTAAATTATGATTTTAAAGATTAAAAAAAACAATTTTTTAAACAGGAAATTTCTGTCATGAAAGCCTGCTAGAACCATGTATGCAAAGTTTAATTTCTAGCCATTAGCCTAGTGATCATTACTATTATAAAGCTGAAGGAGAACATTATACACAGCAAACTGGTGAGAGTGTCGTATAAAGGATGAGCAAAGCAGATTTTAGCTGCTGTTGCAATCCATTTGCTCATCCCTGGTGGAATGAAATCCTGAGGGTGCTTCCATGCATATTTCTGATGACACCCTTATATTTCAACCTCCTGGGCGACCGTAATGACACGTTGACGAGTGCTTTGAACAGCATTATGAGCTAACTACAAGAAAGAGTTACCTATTTTGATCCATAACATCCATGCAAGCAACTCAGAAATTAAGATGTGTCTTCTGACTCCTGAAGTAAGAATGAATGCATGAGTCTCTGTTTTGAACTGACACCGCTACCATCTACAAGGACCACTTTGTGAGAGGGCACTTGGTCTAACGTTCACAAATAACCAGGACGAAGGTTCCTAAGTACTACAACAGTGAGTACCTAAATTCTGTCTGTTCTAGAACTTTCAGAATTTTAAATAGCTTTCATGAAGATTAGTCCCATCACATTAGATGTGCTTGAAAGAGTGTATTAGTTTTATTATTCAACATTCACTAAAACATCTCTGAAGATAGGAAAATATTTTTTTCATAATTCAATTTATACTGTTTCCAGGTATGTTTAAATATCACTGGCCATAGCTCTGCTTTTGAGACTACATGAAATAAAACAATAATTTTTATCACTAGCCATGTTAAGATTAAGTGTAAATTACTTTTATCAACAGCATCAATTTTACTGGATAATTACAACTTATGAATCACCACCATAAAATGGCCCCCTAGATTTCAGTCCAATTTTCCAGGTGGAGTATGTCTGTGTAAGCATTACTTTCCTCCAGTTTGTATAATATCTGCTTGTTTCAGCAACTCCTTTTGACTTTGTCAACATTGTAGATGTTTTCGTCTGACTCCAGACATTTTGAACATGAAGAACTTTTTGATCATTGCTTTTGAATTTGAACACTGTGTAGACCTAACTAATGCCAGCTTATGCTTATTAGACTAAGTTCTGTCACAGTCTTTCCTTTTCCCTAATTCTGAGCTAACAGGATGTTCACTGTGTCTATGTGTTGACCTGTGAAAGGCTTACATTTACCATGCTTCTATTTAGAAGAGCAGAATCCTGTCTTACACAGTTGTCTAGTACAAGGTCCATGACAATGTTTCTTTTTCGTATCATTCCATATTCATTGATTCATATTATCTCTGTAAACATAATCTATACATTTAATAATAATTTCTTGTTTGGGAACACCCGAGTTATTAATAGGTTGTATTTTCCAGACAATATACAATTTTAGGTCCCCTGGAATAGCAACTTAAGTTTTATCTTAATGATTAGCTTCCTCCCATGAAGAGTTCATTTTCTTAAATAGATTCTGTCATTTGCCATCTGCATGATCTTGGAAGGCACTATGGTAAGTTAGATAAGCCAAACCTAGGAGGACAAAAATAGCATGGCTTTATTTATGTTAAATATGTGTAACAGTAAAACTCATAGATACAGAAAACACCATAGTCACTGTCAAAGGCTGGGAGGCGAGGGAAAGGGGGAGTTCTTTTTTAATAAGTGTGCTATAGGATGAATTTTAGAGATTTGTACAAGATAGTGACCACACACACACACACACACACTCACCAGAAACAGAGGGACAAATATTGACTTCAAGTGTAGCCAGATGTATCTATTAGCTTGATTGTGGTTATGATATTGGGTGCTTTACATATTTAAATTCCCAAAGTTATGCACGCCAAATATTTACAATGACTTGTGTAGCAAATACACTTCACTAAAAACTTTGAAAACTAACCCATGTCTTCTCTTAATTCTTTTGCTGCTTTAGTGTTTTGCCTTAGCCGTCATTAATCTCTCTAAGAAAAGTTAGGAAGAGATAAGCTTAAGATGACCTGCAGGACTAGTATCTTTGGAGACTCTTAAAATTATTACTTGTTGTTTTCTGTAATTGTTTATTTTTCCCTGAAAATTCTTGTAGAAAAGTTTGAATTGAGTATGCATCATGCCCATAACATATAAAAGTTAAATGCTAAAAAGGCTTAAATTTTTTCCTGTTTTGGGGAAACAAGGTGAGGGAAAAGATATTGTGATAAAAAGCATCATGATATCATAAAATAAAGTAATAGTTATAACTTTTTAGTCAATATAACATTATGTTTTTGGAGGAAAGAGAAATGTCATATTCTTGGAATATCTATCTCTTTAGCACAGATAAAGAAGCATAACCCAGACTGTAAAGGTTTAGAAGATAACAGGAAGATAACCAATGGGGAGGAATATTTTGTGTTGTCAGTGTGAAATCATTATTATTTTGATGTTTTAATTTTTACAACAGTTTCACGGACACAAGTATCTTACAAAATTCACATTTTTCAAGGGTACAATTTGCTGCTTTTTAGAATGGTCATAGATGTACTTATCTACTGTAGCAGACCTAAAAAATCTGTTTGCTTGTATTGTCACCAAGCATTTTTCTTCAGGATAGAGTTGCTCAGACTGGGGATTCAATTAGTTCTCACACGAGGGAAGACAGTGGGAAGGTGCAGGTCCCTAACCAAACTTTCTTTCTGAGAAGTTTACAAATGGCTTTAACACCAAGAGTGTGGGATTGTGATTTTCCAACCCTGGTCCTCATCACCATAGGCCCAAGGGTCTTGGATCTTTCCAAGTTAAACTGAAGTACATGGTGGGAATTCTACAAGCTTTCTTGGAATGAATGGATCAGGAAACTCATATCATTCCAGGGTGTGGAGTTTGAGATCAATGATAGGCTTTATGTTAACCATTAGACTACTTTCCATAGCAACTATTTCTGTATTTTTTAATCAAAGAACTCGCTAAAAGAGTCTGGACTTGGTCATAAGGGGATGCACGGTTGCCTCAGTTTATTGTTCCAGGTGGATTACCATGAGTGATTTCTCTGATATAAAGAGATAACACAGATAAGACATGAGTAGGTAAAACAGGACATGGAAGATGAGACATGCACGTCTTTTTTTTTTTCTGTAACTTTGATCAGTTACTAATTGCATACCTAACAATGGGTAAGTATCCAACCACCCTAGTTTCAGCTACATAACACAAGGTATTAAAATAGGCACGCTTGCATCTGCCCTACAGAGTAGTTGGGAAGCTTGGAATACAGGGATTCTTAGAACACTCAGTAAATGTTATCAGAAGAGATCTATATGTAGTCAGTGATTGGACACTACCACCATTATCTGCTATTACAGGATAAAACAAAAATAGGAATAGCCTTAAATAATAGTGAGCCATGCATCCCCTGCTTCTGTGGACCCAGGGTTTTGGCTGCTAATATAATTGAAGATAGGCAAGAAACCAAGTACATCTAGTTTTAGAGATTTGAATTCTATTTCATATTTGATTGTTTTATGGCATAATGCGTTTCTACCTTAAATTTTCTTATCTTCCTGAATGGAAACCCTACAGAAAATGGCAGGAGGAAACCATTCCACCGTAACTGTGTTTATTCTGGCGGGACTCACACAGAAACCAGAGCTCCAGTTACCCCTCTTCCTCTTCTTCTTAGCAATCTACGTGGTCACCATGGTCGGCAACCTGGGCATGATCACATTAATCGGGCTCAGCTCTCACCTGCACACTCCCATGTACTATTTCCTCAGTAGTCTGTCTCTCATTGATTTTTGTCATTCAACTGTCATTACACCCAAAATGCTGGTCAACTTCGTGGCAGAGAAAAACATCATCTCCTATCCTGAATGCATGATCCAGCTCTATTTCTTCCTGCTTTTTGTTATAGCAGAATGTCACATGTTGGCTGCAATGTCATATGATCGCTATGTTGCTATATGTAATCCATTGCTCTACAAAGTTACCATGTCTTATAAGCTCTGCTCCTGGTTAGTAGTTGGGGTGTACATCATAGGCCTGATTGGTGCCACAGTTCACACAGTCTGTATGCTGGAAGTGGTCTTTTGTAAGGCTGATACAATTAATCATTACTTCTGTGATCTTTTTCCACTATTGGAGCTTTCTTGCTCTAGTACTTATGTCAATGAGGTAGTAGTTTTGTGCTTCAGTGCATTTAACATCCTTGTACCCACCATGGCCATCCTTAGCTCTTACACCTTCATTGTTGTCAGTATCCTTGGTATTCGTTCAGCGAAGGGCAGATCTAAAGCCTTCAGCACCTGCAGCTCCCACATCTCAGCTGTTGGTCTCTTCTTCGGTTCTACAGCATTTATGTACCTACAACCATCATCTGTCAGCTCCATGGAACAAGGAAAAGTGTCTTCTGTATTTTATACAATTATTGTGCCCATGCTGAACCCTCTAATATACAGCCTGAGGAATAAAGATGTCAAATTGGCATTGAAAAAAATTCTGATCAGAAAACCGTGTTTGTGAATGAAAATCATTGTCATATTGTTTTAGAAGCAGGTCTTTGGTTTGCCTGTTTATGTAATTTTGTTAGGTTTATTTTTCAAGTTTTTGGAATATTGATGGTGCATTCCTATGTGACACGTGTCTAAGTTTTATTCCCATCTTGTTTGAACCACTGTTGCACTAGCTATCTCACATGCTCATGATTCTACAGTGTTCATGAACTTGGAACCATTTGTAATCATCTCCACGGACTGCCGTCCCCAATATAACAAAACAAGACTTCTTAATGTGTGTTTTATGCTACTACTGTACACATATGAACCTGTTATTCTACAGTCACTGGCATAGAGACATTAATAACTCCTTAGAGAAAATGCAAACTAAAAGAACACTAGCATGCAATAAATCATAATAAAATACTTGTTCAATTTCAATCATTGGCTGTTTGTATGAGTTTATTGTAGTCATTCAGTCAACAGTTTTCTTCAACTGATTGTATTTTATTGCCATTATTTCTTCTCATATAACCCTTGGAATGTATCTATGGGGATTTTATCATTGTGTGTCATTGAGTTAGAGATAGGAACAATAGTAAGGAAGGCATAGACATTAGGCTTTGTCACTTTAATTCCCTCATTCACAATTAATAAAACTCAACTGAGTCAGCAATCTGAATGTTTTCTTTCAACGGTGATCACACTTCCTTTATATTGTCCATTTACAAACTATAGAAATTGAAGCAGTATGATATCTAATAATTCTAGTTTTGGTACAACCTCAGCCCCCATTCCTGCCCTATCCCTGTGTACTTTGTTTCTTATTTCTCCTATCTCTTCAGCATTCTACATAGAATGTTAAGAATCTGACTTACAGATTAAGGTCTATTATTTGCTTTTGCATTGTGATAACTCCTGTCTTCACATTTTACTGTACTTGCTTGTATTTCTTGCTTGTTATTAAATTGCCTTGGACTACAATCTCCATGAATGTTCTCCTATACATGTAGTTCATGGTCTGATCTGCATGTCCTATTGTGGTTCCTATCTCCAATTAAATTCTTGAAGGTTTAGATAGTTTTTTGCTCCTATATTTATAGGAAAATCCTGTGTATCCCATGCACTATCCTTTAGTGTCTCATTAGTCTCTCAACAAGTTTGGTAAGCTTTTTCACACTCCAAGCTATTCAGTCTATTAGATGTAATGGAGAATTATTAAATTACTTTTAGGGTAACATGATGTTCTGACATATTCTGTACAAAGATTTAGAACCCCTGGCCCCAAGGGATGGGCATGTGTCTGCCTGGTATTTATCAGTTAGGGGCGGCTGGGTTTAATGCCTACTCCAGCTCCTGTTGCACCTTTCTTGGTCATTGCTGGTCTTTGATGATTGAATCAGCAGGTGGAAGCTCAATCTCTCTTTCCTCACATGCCCCCTACTCCCACTCCACAGGAGATTGTGGAGACATTAGAATTGTGTAAAAATGCCTTATCCTCTTATTACTCCCACAGCCCTCCGAGAAAACATTATGTCTTCTCTATAGGGATCCAGATAAAATTGAGCCACCATTGACTGCATCACAACTCAATAACACATTTTAATGTTAGACTTTTTTCTTCTTTTTTCTGTTAGATTTTTTCTTTTCACTTCTTTCCCAAATTTATAAGCATGACTCCAAGCTAAAATGTAATTTTAAAAAGCAACAGATAAAAATCCTACACCTAGTACTAATGTAAAGCATTCAAAATAAAGCCAGTTGGGCCCAGTGCGATGGTGTAGTGGTTAAGGTCCTTGTCTTGAACATGCCGGGATCCCGTATGGGTGCCAGTTCTAATCCCGGCAGCTCCACTTCCCTTCCAGCTCCCTGCTTGTGGCCTGGGAAAGCAATTGAAGATGGCCCAGAGCATTGGGACCCTGCATCCCCATGGGAGACCTGGAAAGAAGTTCCTGGCTCCTGGCTTCGGATCGGCTTAGCATTGGCCATTGCGCTCACTTGGGGAGTGAATCATCGGATGGAAGATCTTCCTCTCTGTCTCTCCTCCTCTCTGTACATATGCCTTTCCCATAAAAATAAATAAATCTTTGAAAAACAAAAATAAAACCAGTTAAATGGATTTCCTGTAATTTTTATTTAGTAATGATATAAACGTATATTCTACATAGATTTTTAAATTAATTTGTAATTAGTTTGTTATATTAATTATATAAATAAGTTTAAATTAATTTATTCAGTCTTTCTGTAGAAACAAAAGAATCTCTAAGACATAGAAGTTTCCATGTCCTGTGTGAGATAACCTAGGTAGCTAAATTCTTATCTTGCATATGCTGAGATCCCTTATTGGTGCTGGTAAGTGTCCCAGATATTCTGGTTCCCCCCAGCTACCTGTTTGTGGCCTGGGAGGGCAGCTAGGAATGGTCCAATGCCACTTGGGGATTGGAGCAGCGGGTGAAAAAACTTTCTGTCTGCTTCAACCTTTAAATCTGCTTTTCCAATAAAACTAAATAAATGTTTTGTTAAAGTTTTCATTTTTATGTTAAGATTTCTCTCTTACATATAGACTAAAATAAAGTGATTATCTTTTCTTTTTTTGAACTTATAAGTATTTATATGTTTTGGCTATTTTTTTCCATGAAAAATCCTCATCAAGAGGAAATGATGAATATATAAAATTATGTGTATGATCGCATTACTACATGATGTGCTGTATATCTCTGTGTGTGTGTGTGTATATATATATATATGCTCTCTGTATATCTGACTTTGTAATAAAAATAAATAAATCTTAAAAAAAACCCACAGGTTCCATCTGGAAGCATTGTTCAGGAGTTAGAGATCTACGGGGTTTACCAGATGCTGAGTTTCACCATGGACGGCCCACCTGTGAGTTTTATGCAAAGTTATAAACTTCTTCATTCATTATTCCCTAGAGGCCAGAGTGTCTCTCCACTCTGTAGAATCTGGAAGAGGGATGATGGAGATGTTCTCTAGCCAAGGCAGTGTCCTACTGCAAGGCAGATCCAACACAGGAGACATGGGACCCGGACTGCCGTGTGCTTGTTTAATCATGACTGATCAAGCATGATCTGTACTTAATTCCCTCTGCCTCCACCAAGATGGAGGTGAGGTGTCTCCGTGTAGTACTACCAGGAGCTGGGCAATTGTGACACAAGCACCTCTTTATGTTCTGCTTTCTTTGATGATCTTTTGATATTTTTGTACTAAATTCAGGCACTGTTATTATCCGCTGTGTGACCTTCTTAGCCATCGTGAACACGACTTTCTGCATGAACAGTCCATGAAATTGGTGTTTGTAGACATTCAGGCACTGAAACTTAACTGCTACCTTGTTTTGCCCTGTTCATGGATGTTTAGTATTTTGTAATTGCAGCACTGCTCTTAAGTTGTATGTATTCACAGTGTCCAACATGCATTTGGTCGCTATCTTCCAATAAATTAACCTTTTTTAGTTTTTCAAGAATTACATTTTGTTGGGAGAGGTGAGAACACATGAAATACACTTTCTTAACAAATTTCCAGTATGAAAATACTACTGATGGTAGTCATCATTAGATTCACGTCCACAGACATGCACGTAGGAAGGAATTTTATCAATCCTTCAGAAGGGAAACCCCACTATTGACCACAACATGGATGAACCCAGGACACATTTACCAAATGAAATAAACCAGATGCAGAATGAAAGTGTGCTGCACTATCTCCCTTTGGATGAGGAAATTGTGACTTTGAATAACTTTTAAAATAATTGTATATGTTTTTTCCTTTCTCATAAAATTGTGCATATTAGTATTATTGACAGATCAACACTTATTCTACAATATGTTATTTATCTGATATACACTGTGCGATGCTCTCCATGATTTACTGTCAATTTCCTATGGATGCTGTATTAAGCCATTATAAAGGTAGTAGCTTAAAATTATATGTTTCTTATTGTATAATTTTAATAGTCAGAATTTTTCAATGAGCCTCAATATGTTAATGTCATGATGCAAATGATGTTGTTTCATTCTGGAAGCGTCATGAGAGAATTTCTTGCCATGTACTGTCAGCTCCTAGAAGCCACAATGAATCATTGACACATTAGCTGTGATCCTATCACTGCCAGTCCTCAGCCTCTGATTACCAGGATCCCATTCCTACTCATTCTGTCACTGCCTCTGTCTTGTAAGCACCTTGGTACTTCAATGCGTCTACACAGATAATCCATGAAAGCATCTCTAGCTCAAACCCCTTAAATATCAATTCCAATTTCCTATATTGCCTTTTTGTCAATTCCTAACAAGTTCACTGGTTCTGAAATTGATTTTCAGTCATATTTGAAGAGAGTCTAACAATATACATTCATTTTCACCAAATATGTAATCTCATATCATTTTAAACAATTTCCACCCATTGCAGCTGAGAAAGTAGTGATCCACTGTATTTAATCACATCAAAAGTCACAATATTATTACATTGGTATTTATACGTATTTTGTGAAAATCTGAGTATAATTCATTCTGGTAAAAATGAATTTCTTTCCATCAATAGACCTGGAGAAATAGAAAAACAAAGTTATGCACTTTCAGTTTACAGTGCTGGGATGCCAACCATTTTTCACATGCCTTTTATTTGGCACTGCAAATTTTATGTCAGTCATTGGTGTTTTTTCCAGTGAATTCATATAAATAACAATAGCCTTTACCTACAACAATCCCACAGTCCAGAAAATGTTACAATGCCAAAGGTAAAATGGGTTTTCCTGAAGTCTTGATGTAGGTTTTCTTGTAGCTAAAAACATTATATAGCAAAATTGGCCAAACAAGAGATTATCTCTTGTACTGATCCTTAAAGAGTGGTTCATACAGTAACACGTTTGGCAAAATTTGGCAGCTAGGAACACACAATCTTGACAGTGCATGAAGCAAGGACAGAACAGGACTGTAGCGTGTGGGTTGGATTCTTCTTGGGCTTGTTATTTGGTGCTGTAGGCAATGTGAGATTGGGGTGCACTACCACCTGGTCCACCTGTGAGTCTCACTCCTGTGGGGCACACAGAGGACCCAAAGCTGGAGCAACCTGTGAGCCCACTTTGGGAGTCAAAACCCTGCAGTTTTGTTTTTATATATATTCTGAAATGGTGTTTATCCTCCTGGGGAGGTTGTTTAAAGAAAGCTTTGACTTCATATCTCTGTTTTGTAAAGCTCAGAACTCGATTTAAAGCTCAGAATCTGGATGAAAAAGAATTCAGAATGAATTAAGAAAAAGAGGTCTCCAGCACTGGAGTGAAAATCAGTAAGAAAAGAAAAGAAAAGAAAAGAAAAAAGAAAAGAAAAAGAAAGAAAAGAAGAGAAGAGAAAAGAAAAAAAGAAAAGAAAAAAGAAAAGAAGAGAAAAGAAAAGAAAAGAAAAAAGAAAAGAAAAGAAAAGAAAAGAAAAAAAGAAAAAAGAAAAGAAGAGAAGAGAAAAGAAAAGAAAAAAAAGAAAAAAGAAAAGAAAAGAAAGCAAACAAAGGAACTGCACTCAGGGTGTTGTCCTGGTGACTAAAAACTTGCCTTGCAACCTCCATGATCCCATACGAGCATTGATTCCAGCCCCAGCTTCTCCACTTCCCCTCCAGCTCTCTGCTTGTGGCCTGGGAAAGCTGTAGCAGATGCCACAGGCCCTTGGGACCCTGAACCAACCTGGGAGACCCAGAAAAAGCACATGGCTCCTGGCTGTGGGTCGGCTCAGCTCTGATCCATTGAGGCCACTTGGGGAGTGAACCAGCAGATAAAAAGATCATCTTTCTCTCTGTCTTTCCTTTTCTCTGTAGACCTGACTTTCCAATAAAATTAAATAGATACTAAAAATGAGTGAACAGGGAAGATGTTTGATGCTTACAGGGCAGATTGGGAAGTATACAAACAAGAGGGAAACAGAATTCAACCACAGAGGGTGTCCTTGGGAAAATAATTAAACAGTAAAACTCTAAAGAAAGAATTGCTAATCATACATGGTCTAATCCTCTACCTGCAAGCACCAGCATGCCACATGTGAATACCAGTTCATGTCCCTGCTGCTCCACTTCTGATCCAGCTCCCTGCTTATGGCCTGGAAAACAATAGAGCATGGTCCAAGCCTTTGGGCCCCTGAACAAGTGTGGGAAATCTGTAAGAGGCTCCTGGTTCCTGGCTTTGGATTGCCTCAGGTCTGGCTATTGCAGCCATTTAGAGAGTGAACCACCAGATGGAAGAGCTTTCTCTCTTTGTGTCTCCTTCTCTCTGCAAATCTGCCTTTCAAAAAATGACAAAATAAGCCTTTTAAAGAAACATATTTGCCTATTAAGCCAAATTGTATATGTTATCTCTTTACACACAAAACAGAACATCACTTTTGAAAGGAAATTATTGATTTACTGTTGTTATTTTTTATTTTTATGTATTTATTTGAGAAGCAGACACATTGGGGGAGGTGTAGGAAGAATGATACACAGAAGTAGAGACAGATCTATCCACTGATTCACTTCCCAGTGTTTACAACAGTCATATCTGGCCCAGACTAGTGTCAGGAACCTGGAACTGAATAAAGGTCTCCCATGTATGGCACAGACCCAAATGCATCGGCCATTACTGACTCTTAAGGCATACATTAGAAAGAAGCTGGAATTAAAAGTAGATTTAAACTCAGGCACTCTCACATGGAATGAGGGCATTCCAAACAGTCTTTAACACTCTACCTTGGCTTGCTATTTGAAATTTTCTGACCTTATTAACAATTCCATGTAACTTACCAGTGTTTTTTTCTTACTCAGCTATAACCGGCTAACCATACTATAAGATGTGAATGAGATGCAATGGTTAAAAGCAAGTAAGAAACTCAGAATATCAAATTCTACTTACACCTGTTGAATCAGAATGCAGGCACTAATACATATGATTTCTATGTATACATGCTCGCCACAAATTGACACATTTAGAGTTGATAGAGAATGCCTCACAAAGGAAATTAAACAACTGGGAAAATGGTAATTATTTCTCTTTTCAAGGGTAAGATCTTTGAGACTTGCAAGTCCTTGGAGAGCAACTGTCTCTATGGTGTTCAGTGTCTGGCAGATCTAAACCTCCGACAAACCTACATAGCAGGGCAGAGTTACTCAGGTGACTGTGAGCTGGGAGGAGGCTTGCTGTGCTGAGCCTGGGAAAACACAAACTGAACACCTGGAGATGCTGACCTGTAATGCTGATCAGCTTCAAAAGGGACTCTGAGACGAGGTCTAGGCCCTGACCTCTGACAACTGGGATGCTAGAAAAGGGGTAACTATGGCTCCTGAAGGCTGGATCAGACAAGCTATTCTCCTCTAAGTAAAAGACAGCAAGTGGAAATTAAAATTGGACTTTGAGGTTTCAAGTTTATTACAGGTGAGTGTGCTTATTCCACATTTATAATTTGAGGCTATTAGGAACAAAGAAATCTTTGAAATTTCACAGAAATATTCTTCAATAACCTCATTTATTCAGTTACACATCAAACTTGTTTGAAACCCTTGGCCACTTCAGCAGTGTCACAGGGGAGACAGAGAAGCAGATACCATCACTTGCTTATAGTGCTGCTTAGAGTCAAAAGGTGCAGTTGGGATTTAGTGTTCTGAGCAGGCATGGGAAGGTACAATTAGCTACAATGGATTGGAGAATATTGCCTTGATTACCTCAGCTTAAAATGGAATTTAAAAGAATATAAGTGTTTACTAGGCAACAAGGAGAACAATGCTTGTAAGAAAATCACAGACTGGGGCTAGAGCAGTAGCTTAGCACCTTTTCCTCCACCTGTGGTGCTGCAGTGGGTGCCGGTTCTAGTCCTGGCTGATCCACTTCCAATACAGGCTCCTGCTTATGGCCAGAGAAAGTAATGGAAGGTGACCTAAGTCCCTGGGCCCCTATACCCACACAGGAGACCAGAAAGATGCTCCTGACACGTGGTTCCTGGCTTCAGGATGACTCAGCTTTGACTGTTGTAGCCATGAGGAAGTGAACCAGTAGCTTGGCGATTTCTCTCTCTCTCATTGCTACTGCACCTTTTAAATAAAAACAAATAAAACCTAAAAAATAATATCACAAACAGGATTCACTCAGAAGCAGTGAGTCACTGTGACATATCCCATGATTTGTAAGGAAAAAAACCTGTTCTTTGTAGCATAAGAATTTTATAGGAATAAAAGATGGGAAAGACAGTATGCATTTGTGTACTATATCCTAAGTCCATTTAGCGAATGTTTGTTATCTCTGCTGAAAGTGGATCAGCTGATTTCTAATCTGTTGTATTTTGTCATTGACCAGAGGCAATGGCAGTAGGAAACCACTCCATAGTAACCAAGTTCATCAGGAATAAGTATTATATTCCATTTCTAAGCACTCAAGTGTGAAAATAATTTTTCCATGTATTGATAAAAGTCTTCAAAATAGCATATAAAAATCTTATACTGAGCATTATTAATTCCAGTTCTAGCATATTGTAGTATAGTGGATTTCCAGTGTTTTTAAGTCTAGTTTAATTTTACAAACAAAATCTGAATCTGCGTTATTTGTTGTATGATATTCTATGGACTGCAATAATTAAATATAAAATTATGTCCATATTTTCATCTATTAATACTAAACTCATTATATATGAAGCTATCTTTAGACAGGATTTTGACTTCATGAAATATTTCCATGAAAACTTAATCATGTGTGCATTAGCCATTTTCCCAAACCTTAAATGATTGTTTTATTTTGCTAATTGTTTTTACATTAATACTTACTAAATCCAGGTCTCTAAACATCATTCTCAGAGATTCTGATTCATTAAATCTGGGATAGAAGTTGGAGATAAAGAGAGAGAGAGAGAGAGAGAGAGAAAGAAAGAGAATATCTTCCATGTGCTGGTTTGCTCCCCAAATGTCCGTAAAGGCCAAAGTTGAGCCAATCTGCATCCAGGAACCAGGAGCTTCTTCAAGGAGAGCAAGGTCTTGAGCCACTCTTCACTGTTTCCCCAGACCATAAGCAAGGAGGTGGATTGGAAATGGAGCATCTGAGGCACAAACTGGCTCCCATTGCGGTGCTAGCACTTCCTCCTGAGGATTAGTATAGTAGGCCACCAAGCTGGCCCTACGTGTTTACATATTTAGATTTTTATGTTTACTTTTTCACAAATATTATAACTACCTCAGTGATTCTGATGATCAAAAATATTGGGAAATCTCTGGATAAATGCAAACTGCTTAATGCTGTCCTCCATTGCCCTGCCAACCCACAAGCAGTATGGAAAGTGGATCATCCACATAGGGTCCACCAATAAGTTGTTTAACATAAATTAGCTATATTTGAAAATAAAATTTAACAAATACTGCACTGAACAAATTCTCCTTAAAAAAGACCCTGAGTTAATTGGTCATATGTTTGAGTGAAAAGAAAGTATCATCTTCAAAATGAATAACAAGAAAACATATCCAGGAACTGTGATTTTTTTTTTTCTTTTCCCTTCAGAAATCAAACAGAGGATGACAGTAGGAAACCATTCCATAGTAACCAAGTTCATCCTGGCTGGGCTCTCAGAACAGCCAGAGCTCCAGCTGCCCCTCTTCCTCCTCTTCCTAGGAATCTACTTGGTCACCATGGTCGGCAACCTGGGCATGATCATACTGATTGGGCTCAGCTCTCACCTGCACACTCCCATGTACTATTTGCTCAGCAGTCTGTCCTTCATTGATTTTTGTCAATCCACGATAATTATCCCTAAAATGCTGGTCAATTTCGTGGCAGAAAAAAACATCATCTCCTATCCGGAATGCATGATCCAGCTGTACTTCTTCATTATTCTTGCTATAGCGGAGTGTTACATGCTGGCTGCAATGGCATATGATCGCTATGTTGCCATCTGTAGGCCATTGCTTTACAATATGGTCATGTCTTATGAAGTCTGTGTCTGGCTCATAGTTGCAGTGTACATCGTGAGTTTGGTTGGTGCCACGGCACATACTGTTTGCATGCTAAGGGTGTTTTTCTGTAAGGCTAATATAATCGATCATTACTTCTGTGATCTTTTCCCACTACTGAGACTTTCCTGTTCCAGTACTTACATCAATGAGATCGTACTTTTGTGCTTCAGCACATTCAACATCCTTGTCCCAGTACTGATCATCCTCAGTTCTTACAGCTTCATCATTCACAGCATCCTGGGCATCCGTTCCACTAAGGGTAGGTCCAAGGCCTTCAGCACTTGCAGCTCTCATTTCCTAGCTGTTGGCTTGTTCTTTGGTTCTCTAGCATTTATGTACCTACAGCCATCATCTGGCAACGACCTTGGCCAAAACAAAGTGTCTTCTGTGATTTATACCATTATTGTACCCATGTTGAATCCTCTTATCTACAGTTTGAGAAATAAAGATGTTAAGGTTGCCCTTAACAAGGTACTTGGAAGTAATTTTTTATGACAATATTTTTAAATCTAATTTTAGACAATGTTTTTGTAAGGAGCATGACACAAATAGTAATGTACATACATGAGTAATACTATTGTAGCTCATATTAGACTATTTAAAGTAAAAATACAAGGGTAGAATTGGAATTATAGGATTAGTCTCATGATTGCAGCACCATTTATCAGGTGTTACAGAAGAAAACATGCTTAAAATGTGAAAAGCTGGAATATGCATGATCATGTTTCATTTGCATACAATACGGGAAATTAAGGAAATAATATTTTAAATAAATAGAAAAAAGGCAGTCATTGCATTTTGTTATTTAGAATATTTTTTCTATCTGATCTAATTTCATAAAGGCTCTAGCAAGCTTTCCTCAAAGTCTAATCTCTGCAAATATTCTTGAAGAATACAATGCATACAAAATTCAACTCCTAATTACTAGTAACTATAGAACTAAGTTAGTGAATATGGGAGGAAATTATGAGTGATAAAACACTTCTGATTTATAAGAAGATATCACTATAACAATAAATAAACAGGTATAGATATACTATACATTGTGTGTTCTGGATATATTTGTGAACATTCCATGGTCTAAAATTATGGTACTTTGCTATTACCTTAACTTTCCTGACATTTGCATGCATACATTCCCCTATTGAAAAGAAATGTAGCATCATAATGTATATGAAAAATTCAAACCTAGTATTAACAATGTGTTGCTATTGCATTCATGTGGGATAGTGACTCATGTTGAAAAACTAAAAAGGGGAAATCATGTTCTCAGTAATAACAGCCTGTTCATTTGCTTCCAAACCAACTCTACGTTTTTGGGGAAATGATTGTCTCTTTCCTGGAAGAAAAGGATGTGTCTAACTAATGCGTTACTCTGTTCACACTTGCTTAGTTAAGCTCGAATTGATGCTGTTAGGAATAGAGGTAGAAAATGTATGTCTTTCTTTCTCGGAGATAACCAATCCCATCAACAAGCTTTCATAGATCTTGATGGGGTCCGTTGGTGCCTCAGCTCCACTTCTTGTCTTATTGGTGCTGGAAGCACTTTGATTTTCGTTCCCCTTTACTCTTGTCTCGCTGGACTTTACTCTGACCTTTCCTGTGACTCTTGGAGGCCAGATATGTCAGACACTCTTAGCCTCACAGATTTTGAAAAAAGTGGCTGTAAGAGAACAAATGTGGATACCTCCAAGTAGTATCATTATCTTCAAGTTCATCTCTGTTAATCCTGTGCCAAGAACAGAGAACAGGGCCACTTGTTCTTTAACCCATCGTAAGTATTCATATCTGGGCTTATTGCATTTTGAAAAGTCAATGTCTCCTGAACATGCTTAAACATGTCTTAATTAGTCATCAGATTACCTTCAAAAATATAACATGGGTATCCTAGGGCAATGCCACTATTTTTCTTATTCTGGAAATGCAAACTTATGAATGAGAGAGGGACAGAGGAGCTCAATCACCCCTTGAAAACTAGACGAAGCTCCCTCCTTGGATATCAATGGACTAATCAGTCATTAACTCCATGCTTATGTGAAACAAAGAGTTATATATGTCAATTATTTTATAATTAGTCATCAAGTAAACAGCATGCAGTATGTTTTATTCTTAGCTATTGATGACAAATTTGAGTTTTTTGGTTTCAAAGCATTCATTATTGCATTAAAGCTGTTAACATGTTTAGAGCAGTCTAAAAACATTTGACTCATGCCTAGTGATTGTAAGAACTGGTGGAAGAAAACATCAGTAATGTTTGATATTTACCAGATAGATTTCAAACGACAGAGATCTGTCATTTGTACTAGCACAAATGAGACATAAAGTACAAATAAGTAAGACTTACTAATAACCATTAAAGAAGAAAACATAATCCAATGTAGAAAAAGTTGAAAAGAGCATGCTGTAGCATAGCACTAGGTATTGTGGTAAACCTGGATCACATCTCCAATGCCAGCACTGGATTCGATTTCTCAATGAAAATAGTTCATTAAGTATCACTAATAGTAACAGCATCAGACTTCAGACCTAGCCATATGTACCTTCTGTGTTATATACGATGGAGTTTGAGAATCCGTTGTACACTTGCCCACACTGGTGTGCATGTGTGTGCCCATGTACACGCACACACACACACACACACACACACACACACACACACACACACAGATGATTCAGAACTGGAACAGAGGTTCATTAAATGCACAGGTTCCTTTTACACTGATGCTTTCCTGGTTGCCAAATACAGCTGTCAACTTTCAATGTTAACTTATGGTTTCTGATGATTTCTGATTCCACCACTCAGCCACGAGACAGAAATATTTGGAAGTGGAAAGTGTTCTTTCCCTTAGAGAACTCACTTCTACTTATCTTCCTTTTGGAACAAACTCAAACACACAAACATAGCTGTAAAAGGGGTTTAAGGAAAATCATAATCATCCAAATGGTGTGTGCCAAACTAGGAGTCAACATGTTCATTACTGAAGCAAAAACGCATAATGAAGACTAGAAACAAGGATAATTTTGTTCTGCAATTCCTGATATTAACTAGAAATCAGAGTTGATAGCATGTTGGGATTGTCTCTAGAACTTAACATTTGGATTTAGCATTGTATGTAGGAATAATAATACCATTAAGTGTGATTAAATTAAAATGTTTGGTGTACAATTAAAATACTGATTTGTTAATAGTTAATTAAGATCTATAAAATGCTGTGCTAAGTGGGACAGCTTTTTTTCTATTTTAGTTCTGAGTTCATATTATACCCATACCTTCATTCATGCTAATTCCACGTTTATGACTCCATTCTGTGCTTTACAATTTATATCCTTTCAACAACAAATAAACATGTTTAATTCTTACTCAATTTCAAAACAATCAGATAAGCTGCTAATTCAGCACAAATACTACACATCCTAATGATGATGCGTTCTCTGGTATTGTCCATGGTGTAATAATGCAATTGGGTATTATTTCTATAGTAATTGTCATAATTTTCAGGAATAAGTTGGTTGGAGTTGTACATTTAAGTTTTAATACATTGTAATCATTTATAAGTGATGTGTTCTCTGATACTATCCATGGTTAATAATTATCTTTATTTTGAAGGATAATTAGGCTTTGACTTGTACATTTAAGTTTTAATATATTATAATTATCTGAAAGTGGTGTTTATCCATGGCACAAGAGGTATTCTGTTGAACCTGGAGCCATGCTTCAAAGGTTAAATCTTCACCTTGCAAACATCAGCATCCCATATGGTGATGGTTTATGTCCCTGTTTCTCCACTTCCAGTCCAGCTCCCTGCTTGTGGCCTGGGAAGGCTGCAGAGGATGACTCAAAGCTTTGGGACCCTGCACCCACGTGGGAGACCTGGAAGAAGCTCTTTAAGCCTGGATCTTGGCTTTGCATCAGCCCAGTTCGGGCCATGGTGTCCATTTGGGGAGTGAACCAGCAGATAGAAGATTGTTTTCTGTTTCTTCTCTCTATAAATATGACCTGCCTTTACAATAAAAATAAATAAATATTTAAAAAGGGTTAACCTGGGCCCAGCATGATAGCGCAGTGGTTCAAGTCCTCGCCTTGAATGTACCAGGATCCCATATGGGCACTGGTTTTAATCCTGGTGGTCCCATTTTCCATCCAGCTCCCTGCCTGTGGCCTGAGAAAGCAGTATAGGATGGCCCAAAATTTTGGGACACTGAACCCCTAATGGGAGACCCAGAAGAAGGTCCTGGCTCCTGGTTTCAGATTGGCGCAGCACCGGCAGTTGCGGCCGTTTGGGGAGTGAATCAACAGACGGAAAATCTTCCTCTCTGTCTCTCCTCCTCTCTACATGCATATCTGCCTTTCCAACACAAATAAATAAATCTTTAAAAAAATGAAAATAAAAACCTTTTACTAAGGTTTTACGCTTTCTTGTGAGTTATCAAATAGTCTCAAAAAGCAAGCCCTATATCTAAAAATTTAAATCATTTCACACTAAATTAAATTAGAATTTTTTGTATTGCAAAGAATATTGAATTCAACCATCAGATACACATTTTCTTCCAAATGAGCACTTTGATTTATATATTAGAAAAAATATTTCTTTGACATATGTTGTCTTGTTGCTCAGCATTTCTATTTAATTTCTAAAAAGAAAAATCCATCATTTCTTCATGTTTGGCTTTTTAGGAGCTCCATGCTTTTGTGACATATTTGCAATAGTCTAAGTTGAACTTTATTCAGTCTCTATGTTAAAATACTGCAAAAATTACTCTTTTAAGAATACTGTAATACAATTAGTGGAGAACAATGAGATTTAAGTCTCTGAAATCAATGTACATTGGTACAAGAATTCGCTTTAGACAATTCCTTTAGCGTATTTTCTTAAATCTTCATGAAGTTTAATTTTTTTAAATGTCTAAAGTCAAATTTATTAGAGCTCATTCATATGACATAACATTAAGAATTCCAAAACGCACATGGGGAATAAATGTAATGAAAAAAAACTGTATGGGTTATATGTTTTTCTATACAAAACCCCCTGAGGCATATATTTCTACAATAGTTTTAATTTCATTTCCAGGCAAATTCTTGAATGCTCATTTACTAAACACTTGGGAACCAAAGAAGAAGGAAGGATTTTCTAATTGCTCCTTTGAGTTAATACTTGTGGGAAATCATTGTTGTTCTGAAACAGACCCTTCTGATCTCTGTGTAGAACATAAGACGAAAGTAGCAACGAACCCTTGCAAAGCATCTTTGTGCAAGGAAATGAGCTCCACCAGACATCAAGGTGAGTGACTCAGAGGTGTCACCAAGAAGACTTGCTCCTCACATCATCAGATAGACGTTCCTGCCAGAACAATTGAGAAGAGAAAATGGAACTTTTGAGGGAGGAGGAGGGGTATGTCTGAATTTCACCCCGTCTTTATAAACTTCATTTCTCCTACTTTAAACTCTGTTCTAATGCACAGATGTTTCTGTGTCTCTACTCGTCTTCAGTGTAAGACCCAGACTCTCTGGTTAGCACAGGGCCCCTGAGTATTTCCGTGTCTTCAGTGTAAGACCTAGACTCTCTGGTCAGCACAGGGCCCCTGGATATTTCCGTGTCCCCTGATGCACAGAACTGTGACAAGCGCTCCATTGTGTTTTTAAACGGATTTTAGCTCGGGCTGTGTTAGGGAATTTTCTGTCTGTGTTAACATATCTCAAAGTTTCTCTCAACAATTTTTTTTAAAATTTCATTTTATGACACAGTTTCATTGAAAACATATGCGTTGATATTTAAGGACTTCAGCTACAAAAATAGAATTTCATATAATAATGATCTTGAAGGGCCAAATAAGAAGTGTGTGAGTTAAAACACATCACCCATCAAATGTTTGAGAAATTGCCAACTCATATAATACATATAGTATATAAAAGAAAAAAAGCAGTCCTCTTTCTTGTCAGTTCAATGGAAATATTAGTTTGATCTGTAGTGTAATGGAAATTAGTATTAGTATGGGAAGTGAATATTCTGTTGTAAATCTATGTTATGTGAATGCACAAAACATGTAGATTTACAACAGAACAGCATCAGGATATTCATCATTATGGGACTGAAAATTTTATGTTTTTATTTTATTTACTTCAAAGATTGATCTCTAAATTTTTATTAGAAAGTCGATGTTACAGTGAGAGGTAGAGACACAGAAAAAAGATCGGCCACTGGTTCACACCCCAAGTGGCCGCGGTGATTGGATCTGAATCAATCTGAGAAGCCAGGAGCTTTTTTGGGTTTCCAATGAGGGAACAGGGTCCAAGGCTTTGGGTGGTGTTCTACTGCTTTCCCTGGCCACAGGCAGGAAGCTAAGGGAACTGGAGCAGTTGGTGCCCATATGAAATCCTGGTGCAGCAAAACGAGGATATAGCCACTAGGCTATCCTGCCGGACCCAGGATTGAAATAGATTACAATGAAAATAACACTTGTAATTGTTGAGTTCTTTACAAAATTTAGGAACAATGCATAAAATAATTTTCATATGAGACAGAAACCCTTTTTTTTCCAGAGATTTCAACCCTGAAGCAATTCTTTCAAGTTCACTCAGATATGATTTGCATTGATATTTGAAGCTAGAGTGCATATTCTAAGAGTTCACTAAAATTTTGAACCTTGAAATATTATAATTACAAGAAATATTAAAATGATGTAATTCAATCATTCAATCAGGTCCATGTCTGAGCAGTATAATAAATGGCCTTACAAAAACATTTCAGGAAATTAGATAAACAAGCTGGGTTAGACTGTTGAAATTATCTTTTTATTCTTCAAATTTATTTATTTTTATTGGAAAGTCAGATTTACATAGAGAAGGAGAGCCAGAAAGATCTCCAATCCACTCATTCACTCCCTAAGTGGCCACCATGGTGATAGGAGCCAGAAGATTTTATGATGTCTTCCACACAGGTGTAGGGTCCCAACATTTTGGGCTATCCTCCACTGCCCTGCTACCCCACAAACAAGGAGCTGCATGAGGCGTGAGGCAGCAAAGACACAAACCCACACTGATATGGGATCACAACACATCCTGCGCAAGCATTTTAGCCACCTGGCTGTCACACCAGGTCTTCTTGAACAAAATGTATCTCTTCATGGTTTCAGTGAATTAGCTTCACTTCATGAACCTGAAAACATATACTGTGAGCACTTTGTAAAAGATTTATTTATTTGAAAACCAGTTACCAAAAGAAGAAAGGAGAAAAACACATATCTTCAATCAACTGGTTCATCCCACAATGACTGCAAATGCCAGAACGTGGCCAAGCCAAAGCCAGCACCTAAATGTTATTTTTGGACTCTCCCTCATGGGTGACAAGGATTCGTATACTTGGGCCATCTTCTGCTTGTTTGCCCAGACCACTCAGTGGGAGATAGATTGGAGGTTGAGCAGTTGTGGCTAAGACCAGTGTTGCTCAGGGATGCTGGCACTGTAGACAGTTGGTTAGCCCAAATATGACACACCGCAGGATCTAAAACGCTTCTCAAATAGAACAGTAAGTAGATGTCTGAATACAAAAATTATGTGCCATGTGTATCTCTACTTCACTTGCCGACTACATCCCATTACTTCAGTCATTTTTCAAATGACAAAATGTCTAGACAACTTTCTAAAATTTCATGGTTTTCAAAATCTCATAGAAAATATTATGTGCAAACTGAAAAGATTCATCTTGTGCCAGTGTTTGTCACAAATATTAAGCTTCCACCTACAGTGCTGGAATCTTATATAGGGTCTGGTTTGAGTTCCAGCTGCTCCACTGTCAGGCTAACTTCCTTCTAATGAGTCACGGAAAACATTTTACTTTGTTCCTTGTACCCAACTAGGAGAATCTGTAGAAACTTATGATTCAGTCTCCAGGCTGGCAACACCCTGGTTGTTGTGACCAATTCAGGAGAACCAGGAATGGAAGGTACCCTCTCTTTCTCTTTGCCTCTCTATCTCTCGATAACTTTGCCCCTCAAATAAATGGAATATCAGTAAATTAGAGAATACTGATCCTTTCTTTTTTTATTATTTCATTTTATAATACAGTTTCGTAGGCTCTGGGATTTCCCCCAACCCCTCCCAAACCCTCCATATGGTTACCATAGTACAGTTCATAACCAATCATGATTCTTTCATTACATGCATGGACCATGCAGAGTCCAGCATCTTGTTTTCTGGATAAATGCAACAGTTTCATTGGGAGACCATCGTTGGTCTGAAAGTAAGGCTGGCAGCATATCATCCCCTCCAATGAAAAGCCACTACACAACTTCAACAACAGGAAGAAATGTGGAAATTTACACCATGATGAAGTTAATTGACATGGTATTGAGTGACCAATATGTTATAAAATGCAAGTTTTTAACCACATCTTGTAACTACTTCATTGACATCTCAACTTTAGTTTATGCACTTTTGGCTGCTATAAACCTTGAAATGATTATAAGGTACTATTCAGCTGTCTCGTGTCTATTTTCAGTTTTATATTTAGCAGCTTACAGGAGAATACTAATTCAGTTAATGTTAGTTTTGACTATGATTTGCTGTCAGAGTCCATTTGCTCTGAAAAGGCAAACTAGTGATATTTTGTTTTCTTGAATCATATTATACTGTTGAGTGGTATTAAATTTATAGTGTGATTTCTAACTATATTTTAGATTTCCTCTAGCAATCTATGTAACAATCATTTTAAAATGAATCTTATTTATCACATATAATTTTAAAATATGATCTGTATAGGAAAAACCTAGTGTGTATCAATCCTCTTTTGTTTTGGGAACAGAAAATGTTTTCTCAATTCAGATATCAAATGTAATTTACTTAAAACAATCACAGTTTGTGTCATTGGACAATTGGTAAACCATAACCATTATGACATTATGTTACTTCTCTGCCTTTTTTCAAATTAAGGTGAGAGTAGCTAGCCATTAATTCATGAAAAATCTTTATTTTTTTTAGATTTATTTTATATTTCATTGGAAAGTCAGAATTATGGAAAGAAGGAGAGGCAGGGAAATTCACTCCCCAAGGGCAGCAAATGCCAGAGCTGCTTCCATATAAGGCCAGGAGCCAGGAGCTTCTTCCGGGTCTCCCAGATGGGTGCAGAGTTCCAACGCTTTGTGTTGTCCTCTACTGCTTTCCAGGCCACAAGCAGGGAGCTGGATGTGAAGCAGGGCTATCAGGATTAGAAGCAGAGCCTATATGGGATCCCAGCATGTTCACAGCAAGGACTTTTGCCATTAGGCTACCATGTTGGACTCCATGAAAAAAAAATCTTTTACATTACATTTAATGCTATCCAGAAGTTGTTATGGCTCTTCGTTGTGGAGTTACAGGTCTGCATGAAGAAACTTATGTACGAAGCAGCCATATCGAGCGGAAAAGAATTGAGAGCTACCTGATCCTTCACCTGTTTTCAGATGGAAATCTAGTAAGAAAAAACATCTGGGACTATAGTAAGTACTATTTGTGAACCATGTGCCAAAAAATATTGCCTACCTTTCTTTTTTGAGTAAATCAAAATCTTAATCAACAAAATGTTTGATATGGACATAGGACATTTAGCACACTTATAGGAAAAGCAAAGACTGCCCTGAAAACTGTAGTTAGCTCTGACAGGCAACACTTTACAAACATTTGTGCTTTCTTTTAAAATGTCATGAATTATCTTTCCTTTAATGTCCTTTCTATCACTCCTCTGCTTTTCTCTCTGAATCAGCTTTCCCAGATTATCAGGACTTTAAGAGATTCTTGCATTGAGTCTTTCTTGCAATGCAAAATAAAAAAAGCAAATGATATCCACAGTGTCTCTCTCTCTCTTCTGCATATTCCATCATGTCATACAAATGCAGGTATGCATGTGTTTCCACACACATAAAATAAAATATGCCATCATATCACTTTTAGATCAACACAGTGCAGGCAGGAAAATGAATTCTGGAAACCAGTCCATCGTGACCGAGTTCATCCTGGCTGGACTAACAGAGAAAGAAGAGCTCCAGCTGCCCCTCTTCCTCCTCTTCCTAGGAATCTACTCAGTCACTGTGGTCGGCAACCTGGGCATGATCATACTGATTGCACTCAGCTCTCACCTGCACACTCCCATGTACTATTTCCTCGGCAGTCTGTCCTTCATTGACCTCTGCCAATCCACTGTCATTACCCCCAAAATGCTGGTCAACTTTGTGACAGAGAGAAACATCATCTCCTATCCAGAATGCATGATTCAGCTGTACTTCTTCCTGGTTTTTGCCATTGCAGAGTGTCATATGTTAGCTGTAATGGCATATGACAGATATGTTGCCATCTGTAGCCCTTTACGTTACCATGCTGTCATGTCTTATAGCCTCTGCTTAAAACTCACAATGGGAGTTTATGTTTTGGGCATCCTAGGATCTACAATTCATACAGGTTTTATGGTGAGACTCTTTTTGTGCAAGAGAAGCGTAATTAACCATTATTTCTGTGATCTTCTCCCACTGTTGGAACTATCCTGCTCTAGTAATTACATCAATGAGTTGCTAGTGCTATGCTTAAGTGCATTTAATATACTGTTTCCTGCCTTAACCATCGCTGCCTCCTACATCCTGATCATTGCCAATGTTCTCCGCATTCCCTCCACTGAGGGTAGGTCCAAAGCCTTCAGCACCTGCAGTTCTCACATCTGTGCTGTTGCTGTCTTCTTTGGATCTGCAGCTTTCATGTACTTGCAGCCATCATCTGTCAGCTCCATGGACCAAGGCAAAGTGTCCTCTGTGTTTTATACAATTGCTGTGCCCATGCTGAACCCTCTCATCTACAGCCTGAGGAACAGGGATGTCAAATTGGCACTGAAGAAACTCCTCTGCAAGAAAGCACGTTCATGAAAAGAATCAACAACACTGCAGAAGAGGGCATGTGACTTGAGTAGATAGGTAGTTAATTAGGTTTTCTTTTTCAAAGTTTCGAAATCTTAGTAATGCCTCTCTATGTGATATATCCGTAATTTGTCCTTTAGACTTGCATTTGCAATTATGGTGTCATGACTATGTCTAGATAAACAAAAATAATGAAATCCAGAGATGTTTTGGCCATAAAGGAACTCTGGAATTGAAAAAAAAGAAAGAAAAACAGGAAGAACAATATTAGAATGATAGTTGTAACACACATTCATTATTTAGATTTTATGAAATATGAAGCAATTTGGCTCAAATTTAAATAAATTAATTTATTTGTCCTTTGTAACATTCCTTCACAAAGAAATTAAAATTATTTTCAGGTTAAAATAAAAAACAACTGAACCTTATTCATTTGAGTAACTAAGTGATTGAGGCTAGAGTTTTGATTCTAGTAGTTTCCACATCACTGAATGTGATATTTGGCTAAAGTAACTGTGTGTATGCCTAAGGACCCTTGAGAATTCCTTTCTACACATCAAGTATCTCCATTTCCATCCATGACTCCATTATTATCTCTTAGATAATTTTCATGATATTTTCACTTGATACAATGAAAAAAATATCAAATCTGTTTTAAAGAAAAAATGGAACAAGATCATGGCCATTGTTTTACCATCTGAATCCACTTGTTTTATATCACCATGGTCTCATTGGCCCTGATGATGTCATTTCAATTTATATTTCTATTAATATAAAAAGAGGAGGCTTAGTGTTATGACTTGGCACAATTCTAAAATTACAGTATGTTGTTTTTCCATCCCGCTTTTTCTTTATTTCTTATTTTGCAATACTTTTAAAATTTTATTTCTAGTCAAAGCCTTAATGTGTCCCTGAATGAAGAGTTCAACAAATAGAAAATGGAAATACTATTGTTCAAGGGAATAGATGAACTTATAACTGTTTTTGAGGACTATACTATTGTAATAACAGGGGAAATCAGTGGAGGGGAGGGAATTTAGCGAAAGAGAGAGAGAGTAAGGGAGGGAGGGAGAGAAAGAGAAGGAAGGAAAACTATGACTTTAAATGGCACCCCAAACATTCACCTGACTTCTGTCTCATAATTGTTAGGTCAATATTCATCGTGTGACAGCTGAAAGGAATCCCAGGGACTTGCTCAGTTGGCAACCAGATGTGAAGCATATGTGAGAAAGGAGTTCTATGATTTTCTTGTGATGGAGTTTACATATGTCAAATATCAAAGCTTTCTGGCAGTGCAAAATAGAAGGCTTATCTGGCAGCCTGCTGAGGGACCTGCTCATCTTGAGCATACTTCCCAGGCCGCTCAATCAGAACGCTAGCCAGCTGGTCTTCAATGTGGCCTTGAACCCAGAGCCTGCTTTTCTCTGAATGAATCAACAAAATTCATTATGTCTCCTTCATTATAGAACGTGCTTCCTGACTCAGGCTGGCTTCCGGATAGGTTAAGAACATGTCCACATTACTAGAGTGTCTCTGTGTTCTCTCTACCTTCCATGTTTCCCAAGCTAACACTTTTAATTGGATTTTTCCTACACTGTTTAGAAGATAAGAGCACAGTATTTTGTATCATTTATCATATGTTTTATTTTTATTGTTACTGTACCAATTATTATGCCTAATTTTAATATTTATTTTTATTTATTTGAAAATAGGAGAAAATAAGAGTACACGATAGTAATACCTGGGATGAATTAGTTTAAACAACATGTGACATCTTTAGAGAATCCCAAAGTCCAGTAGCTACTGCTGTGTGAAAGACAGAAGATACTCTTTGGACCCAGGCCATCAAAGAAATTCCCTGAATCTAAAAGTGAGAGTCCTTAGCAAAAAGGCAAAGCAATAGACTCATCAAATAATTTGATTCTCGGAGTGATTCGAACATGAAACCTTAGCCAAAGCTGGTCATTTTTTAAAATGCATACTGATGGTCCCAGCACGATGGCCTAGTGTCTCAAAGTCCTCAGCTTGAATCCCAAATGTGTACCAGTTTTATTCCTGGCAGCCCCACTTTCCATCCAGCTCCCTGCTTGAGGCCTGGGAAAGCAGTCAAGGACAGCCCCAAACCTTGGAACCCTGCACCTGCATGGGAGACCTGGAAGAGGCTCCGGGATCCTGGCTTCAGATCGGCACAGCGCCAGCCGTTGCAGTCACTTGGGATGTGAAGCATCAGACAGAAGATCTTCCTCTCTGTCTTTCCTCCTTTCTTATATATCTGACTTTGTGATAAAAATAGAACATATTTCTTTAAAAATGCATACTGATGGTGTAGCAGAGATGTTATGAGATGTTATGTTTCTGACTCTACATTTTCAAGTAAGTTAATTTTGAAAAAATTAAAAAGAAACAAGGGACTGCTATTGCACTATAGTGGGTTATGCTGCGCATTGAAACGCTGACATCCCAAACAAAAGTAGCCTTTTAAAAAAAAAAGATTTATTTTATTTCTATTGCAAAGTCAGATATACAGAGAGGAGGAGAGATAGAGAGGAAGATCTTCCATCTGATGATTCACCCTCCAAGTGAGCACAATGGCCGGTGCTGTGCAGATCCGAAGCCAGGAGCCAGGAACTTCCTCCAGGTCTCCCAAGCAAGTGCAGGGTCCCAAGGTTTTGGGCCATCCTTGACTGTCTTCCCAGGCCACAGGCAGGGAGCTGGATGGAAAGTGGGACTGCTAGGATTAGAACCGGCAGCCATATGGAATTCAGACGCTTTCAAGGCGAGGACATTAGCTGCTAGGCCACCGCATCCAGCCCTAAAGGTAGCCTTTGAGTTCCAAATTCACCATTTCCTATCTAACATTCTGGTAATGCAACTTTGGGAAGCTGTAGAAGATAATCCATGTGCTTGGGCCCCTAACATCCACATAGGAGCACAGGTTGGAGTTCTGGCCCTCCAGGTTTGGAGTTAGAGCCTTTGGAGCAGTGAACCATGGACAGAAAGATCTCTTTCACCTTATTTCCCCTTCTCTGTCTCTCTCTGTAACTCTACATATCAAATAAGTATTAAAACATACAGACCCTCAGACCCAATTCAAATATGTTAGCTCAGAATATGCAAATTACTATGAGTAATCTCTACACTTGAAAGCTTCCCACTAATTGGAAAGTTTGAGAACTGGCAAAGAATCACTTCATGAGAAGCCAGGCAGCTGGGACAATAGCAATTGACATTTCTTTTTTCAGTGGGGTAATTTTGACAAATGAAAATCCTTGGAGAGCGCATGTCTCTATGGTGCTCTGTTCCTGGCAGATCTATACCTCGGCAAACCTACATAGCAAGGCAGACACTCAGGTGACTATGAGATGAGAAGAGGTTTGCTGCCCTGAGCCTGGGAAGACACCAACTGAACAACTAGAGATGCTGACCTGTGACAACTGTAGAAGCTGACCCAGGGACTCAGAGACCAAGGTCTGGGCCCTGACCTCTCACCCACAGAGGTCCCAAACCCTGGGTACCAGCAGCTCCCAACACTAGCATTAGTGCCATTCTCTTTCAAGTCAGAGACAATAAACAGAAAACAAATCGTGGCCTTCTGATCTCAGGCAAGAGAAAGGTGAGTGTGATTTTCCTAAATTTGTGATTTGAGAATATTAGGTCCAGAAGTAATCACTGTGAAAACTCAGGAAATTATCATTTTTTATGTGTTTATACTTTATTATACAGTTCCATAGTCTCAGGGATTTCCCCTTTTTCTCTCTCCCACTGATTTGCCTTATATTACTACAATAGTATAGTCTTTGAACAACAATCACAAGTCCGTCATTCCTCTGTTTAAGTGCATCCTGACATTGTAGGTATGGACAATGGTAGACAATGGTGGAAAGCCCAGCATCCTGTTGTGAAGATGTATTTATTATACATTTAGCAGTTTCACTGGGAATGCATATTTCAGTTGGAAGTAGAGGTGCATATTGCTTTGTATCTTCACTTCTTGGTATGGTAGTCTCTCTTCAAGAATTATTCAGTTAACCACAAGAATCTCTTGTTGGGTCCAGCTCCAGCAGACAGGGATTCAGAGTGCGACTCAGTGAACGAAAGAGATCTCTGTCAGCTTCTCTCACTACCTTTCTCTCTCTTTCTTTCTCTGTCTTTCTCACTCTTCCTTCACGTTTCAAGTAAATGAAAATTAATAAATGTACATCAAGAAAATACAGGCACTGAAAGAAGCCAGATTTTTCTGTGGAACGTGAGGAGATAACTGGAACTGGAAGGATAGCGTCAGTAGTCAGTGTGTTTATTTACATTGAATGTCCTAAGAATAATAGTGAAAATCACTTTTCAATGTTTTTACAAGTTGATTACCGGGCCTGGCATGGTAGCCTAGTGGCTAAAGTCCTTGGACACACCGGAATCACACCTGAATCCCATATGGGCTCCAGTTCATGTCCTGGCAGTCCCGCTTCTCATCCAGCTCCCTGCCTGTAGCCTGGGAAAGCAGTAGAGGACAACCCAAAGCCTTGGGTCCCTGCACTCATGTGGGAGACCAGGGGAAGGCTCTTGGTCCCTGGCTTCGGATTGGCTCAGCTTTAGCCATTGCTGCCACTTGGGCAGTGAACCATCAGATAGATCTTCCTTTCTGTCTCTCCTCCTATCTGTATATCTGACTTTCCAATAAAAATAAAGAAATATTTTTTAAAATCTATTACTTCTTTTTCTGAGTTTTGCTTTTTGTTTTTATGAAGAATAAGTAGCTGGCAGACACCGTGGCTCAACAAACTACTCATCCATCCACTGTGTCCAGGGGAGAATCAGGATGCCTTTCCTTCTCTCTGTCCTCCCTTCCCACTCTTTTTCTCTTTCTAATCATCTCCTTTTCAGTTTTTTTTTTTTATTTGCTAAACTCTATTGAGAAGCAAGTGGACAGACACTGAATTGAGACCTGAAGAAATAAGCAATAAAATGACTCATTTTCTGTTCCAAAGGCATTTGCAACATAATCTATGCTATTA